GCCAAATTGGTTCCAGAATTACAAAGTAACAGAGTTGCCCAGGAACTGAAAACAATAATTGACTATGTACTGCAATTACTCTTCTGACGCTGGAAGATAGTAGTCATAAAGTCTATATAAGATAGTTCAATACGTCAGCAACAGAGTATGTGATATGCACGTTCAATATGTAATTTTGTATTTATGCTGTGCCATTGGTTTTCATACATAAAGTTCGTACTGTATCTGAATGCTGTAATGTATCTGTACATGTTTATATCTTTTATTTATGGTACCTAATTCATACTAAGGATCACCGCGTACCTCAATGGCATGCTTCTTGTAAACTTTAACTATCATGATAACGTATATGCATATGGATGTATATATCAATATGAGTGAGAGTATGTATACTTTTATTTGTTTCGGAATATCTATGTATGTAAGTGTGTACTTTATATCTGTATATGAGTTCGTATTTTGTATGTATACACATATATTTTGATTGTACTCTTCTTCAAGTGCCTTGTATGCACATGCATATATTTCTTTGTACATTGTAGTACCCTTCTTTAAGTGCCTTGTATGCACATGCATATATTTCTTTGTACATTGTAGTACCCTTCTTCAAGTGCCTTGTATGCATATGTATATCTCTTTTTTGCATTTTATAAATGTCGTCTGCTCAGCCGGGGCTGCCCAGGGTTGAGGCCTGGTAGCTAGTGGTTGACTCCCGCCGAGTTCGTAACCAATTCTGATTGGATATATCTATACCTGGGTCGGAAGCAAACTCAGCGATTTACCTTACCTTACCTACCCCTCATCCACTATCACCAATCTCTCCCAGCCCAGACTCCTGAGCCCAGACTTTAAAAATGTTTGTCGATTTTGCCCCGCCATTTTTCCATGTCACTCAGAAATAAAAGTATTCTGTCTATAATGTATGCGTATCAGCATGAGCTAAATTATCATGAATTAATGAATGAAGCATTGGGATGTATATAAATCATGCAACTCTGCCTTAAAAGCTTATAAGTAAATAAATAGATGTCCAGAAAAACAATAATAAGAAGTACAGTTTTAAAACAAAATATTCAGATGGTATTGGTAAATCAAGGTTTCAACTAGGGTTTTTCATTTTTCGTTTCACGAGGTAATCCCGGTAGGTTGCATTGCTTTTCGGAAACTGTTGGATGAATTAAATTATATATGCTTACATACTTTAAAATCATACTTTTTCTAAACAAAGGAAAATTAACAGATTACATTCCTTTTCTGCAACTAAAAATAAATTTGCATGTTAAGAGGAAAATAATTTCCACCATTTATACATTCATAACCGCTAGCCTTAAAATATGAAAAACTGAGAGGTTTGTAGCTCGAAAATCGAAAGTTTCCGGAATATTTTCGCGTTACGTCGGTTCAAAAGAACTATAAATTGACTAAAATTCAATTTATAATACATGATTCGGATTACTAAAGTATTTAAACATGATTCGGATTACTAAACTATTTAAACATGCTTCGGATTACTAAACTATTTAAACATGATTCGGATCACTAAACTATTTAAACATGATTCTGAGGTAAAATATAAATTGCATCACTATGATATGTAATTGTATCACCTAGTTAGATGTTCTTAATTTTTATATCCTATATCTAATTTCGTTTCGAAATTTTTTTTACACCTTTATACTGAAAAAATCGTGAGCAGGGAAGAAAAAGTTTACTTATCAATAGTACTTTTAAATGCGATGAAAATAAAATTAATGATTAATGTAAGTACGAGTACTATTGTATGGATAAGCTTAGTAATGTACCCTGTATTGATGTAAAACAAAATTAAATACAAATATGAACTGATTAAACATTGGTTAAATCTTCATAAAATTTCTTCAAAGGTCTGCTGTAGATTAAGACAATTCAGATAAAATAAAATTTAATAAAAAAAATTATGCTGAACATCACTAGTTGTGGTAGGAATGGAATTTGAACAATTTAAGTTTAATTAATTTTATAAATTTAATTTATTGCCGTGGAACAGGTTTCTAAGCAGTTTTCGATACTAAAGGTTAAAAATTAAAACCCGGGAGATTCGGTGATCTGCTGGGAAATCATATGAAATACCGGGAGTCTCTCTGTAAGATCGGATTACTGGTTTGACGTAGATAACCTTGTAAGGTTTGTACCAGAAAATGCAATACAAACAAACAAACTTAATAAAAGTCGGAAGAGTTGGTAGCTACATGTAGGATTCATCATATACTACTAGTACTTGCAGCAAGAGAAAAAGAATTTTGGCTTTTATGTTATACTTTATAAAATTATTCTTTTTTGTTTCATCTGTGGGGAATTCCTCTACACCAGGGGTTCTCAGTGGGATCAGTATTTATCCCTTGGAGATAGATGTAATTTTAAAGAGGGTCAGTGACCATCAAGGGTTCGATAGCCGAATATGTAGCGGCAATTAATTGGAATAACCAAGATCCTACTGATTACAAAAAAAAAAAAAAAAAAAAAAAAAAAAAAAAAAATTCATTGCTAAAATTGATAATTAATTGTTTATTGATATGAAACTGTATCATACAAGGACTTATTCAAAACACATGGGTAAGCTCAGTTTTAGAATCTAAAAGTCATCCGATAAAAATATCCGTCAATCCGGTAAGTTATTACCAAATCAGCATTATTGATTCCCCCCTCCCTTTCAACTATTGGACCCTGACTGGAAACAGGCTTTAGTCAAGTCAATAATTGATAAAGTATCTTCTCCCTCCTTCCCGCGTTCCCCTCCTATTTACAAATTTACTAAGGAAACGAGAAACAGGTGAGTATTTTTTTAAAGAGGAGACATCAATCGCAACCATTGCATTAATTAAAAGAGAACTTTGGGCAATTAGAATCTGTAATTTTTGTTTCTGAAAATTTGTTTATTTTCTGTAAAATTAAAAATAATAATAATAATACAAAAAATAATAAAATATAAATCTAATCAATCATTTTTTTCAAAACTTCCGTTCATATTCTTAATTTTATTTTTATCTTTAAGTTGTTTATATACAATTATTTGTATTACGATTATGTTGCATGGTGTATATTATAAAAAATATAGGGGGGACGGTTGATGAAGTAATTTATTCTTTTAAAAGGAGTCAATGCAAGAAAAGCGTTTAGAATCTCTGATCGACACCAACAAATTTGTTATCTATTGTGATGTATCCATCTTGTTAAACTAGTACATTAGCAGTGTCTCTTTTCGTTTATCTGGCGCCTTCATCTTTAGTGCTCACATGTCTAGACTCAATTTCTTATCCACAGAGAGTTTCAGCGTTACTGGTAGAGTTAAATCGATAGTTAACGTCTAAGACGCAAACAGAATGATATTTTATACTTCCCGATTTTAAAGAATTGTGAAATATTTTTATGAATATTTCATCCGAGAAAAGGAACATCATAATATTTTCCTGAAATGCTGCCACCAATGAATCAGGCATAGAGATTTGAAGATGGATGCAATGCGTATATAATTTTTTTAAAAAATGCAGGGAAATTAAAAAATACTGTTCAGTTATAGTTAGTTGAATGTTACTCCATCGATAACTGCTACCTGACAATACTAAACTTTACGTAAAGAGAAAATAAGAAAAGAAAAAAAAAAGTTTAAAAAAAAAAAATTATGGAAAGTTTTTAATATTAAAAAAATCTGAAAGCTTTCAGATTTTACATTAAGCCCAAAGGGGTATTTTTTTTTAACGTTTTGTATGTTACCTTTATTTATTACATATCATGTTTCTCGCACTTAAACCTTAAAATTCAATTCAACAGCAATATCGCAAGAATTTTCGATACACAGTCTCACGCGCTGGAGATAAAAATGTTTTTTTTTCTTTCTTTTTTTTCCATACAGTGCTGCCATTGCTCGCTTTGAAATCGTTGTGTTTGTTAATCAAAAATTCGTTAAAGTGTTACAAAAATATGAAATCGATAATAAAAGAAATTCGAAACTCCATATTAGGGCTTTCAGTTGCCCATATTCTATGGAGGATTACGTTAATCAACATTTGATGGCTAGAGGTACCGTTGTTTATCACACTCCGAGAAACATATATACATTTATGCAGATTCTGCATTTTTTAATTTCTTTAAATATAACACAGGGCGATAATATTTGGTGGCAACAATTTGAAAAGTGGAAAGGACTTTTAACGTTTTCGACGCAAAATGGCAAAACGAAATTAATCGCCCTTTTGGGCTAAAAATTTTTACATTAAAAAAAAAAAAATCTTTGATTGAGAAAGGAAGTCTTATACCTTTAAAATTAATTATACATTCAGTTTCCGTACAGAAATTTATTACAATGACAGTTATTTGATGACCATTAGAAACCGAAAACTTTTTTGCTTCAGAATGCAATAACTTACACCATTCGTCTTCAAACATTATATTATAATTCCATTTAAAGTAAATTTAATTTTCTTGGAAACTCTCCTAATTCCCAGAAATAAAGTTCTGTAAAAAATATACGGGAGCCTTGGGAACAGGGATCCCAGGAAAGAAACCTTGTTCTAATGAAACTGTCAATTATGGAGCAGTTTCAAAGAAAGGCTTCCCTAGCAATAAGTATCCTCTCATTAATTTCTTTTCATTTCATTTATTCAGTACTTACTATTATTTTTAATAGCAAGACAAAGTGAGTTGAATGTGTAAGTTCCCAATTTAATCGTCTTTTAGAACCATACGGTTCTCACGTACGCCATATGTGAGACCGACCTAGCCACCAGCCAGTAAACTTTCGAGCAATCTATTTGTCAAATCATTTTCCCGAGGCCCGTTTTATGGGCCCAGCCTTTTCCTGTTGCTTTGTGCCTAACATCCCTACGCAGGGACACTGAGTACGAAAATGGGGAAGAATTCCGTAGTACGCCAGACGAGTGTGTGATGAAGTTTTATCCCTTAAGGGAAAATTCCGTTTTCAAACATTCGGGAGGAATGAAAGCGGACTAGCGAACAGACGCGAAATATATTTCGTCGGTGCATCATGTCCGAGTGTTGAACTCGCGTTCGGAGAGCATGTTATTCAACTCGTGCTAAGCGCTAATACCTCAGCTGGGTATCCTTGTAAATTTGCTGATGCACCTGTTGTACTTTATACCAGTGACAGTGTATAGTTAAATTGGATTGTGCAGTTATAATAGTTGTGGAAAGTGCATGATACCCCAAGTGCAGAGAGAACGTCGCGTGAACCCAGAGCCAACCCTGTTTTTGATACCCATGGGAAAATGACAGGTCGTGCTAAAAAATGAGACTCAGTGAAAAGACGGATGCATTTGCTCCATAGTAAATTATGTGTAAGGAGTAAGTGGAAATAACTGCACGGACTTTTTTTGGCGGATTTCATCTGTGTAGCTCATCAGTTTGAAAGGTATGTTTGTATTTATATATCAATATATCGATGCAAAGGGTTAAATTATATTCTTTATTTTAGGTATTTAAATTTTTGGAGTGCATATATATTATTAGAAATTTTTGCTAATTTTCTAATTTGTTAAGTAGCTACTGAAATAAAAGAGTGCGTAAAAAGAGAATTATGTGCATTATTCTCGATTCTTATCACATTGAGAGTAAAAAGTAAGAGCTGACAGGGTTACTTTCAAATGAAATTAGTACTGATTATTTCAGATAAAATGAAGTTTTGTTCATTTCTTCCGCATCACCATTATAAATGACATTCGTGAGCTTAATTGTGATTTATTGAAAATACTTTGTCGAAGAGTTGTAAACGTATTGCATACTAATAAATTTGTTTCTTTGGAATGTTGTCACTTTCAGAAGTAAGTAAACTGATCTAAAGTGCGAGATTCAGACCTTTTAATTTTCTCATATGGAAAAATTTAAAAACGGAAATGTAATTTTGAAGGTTGAAATAAAAAAAAAAATATTTTGAACTTAAAATAAGAAACAGTTCCAAATTAAGTGTTGATGTAATTAATTTAATTATAAATATATCTTACTCTGAATACCACTATTCTGTTAAAAAAAAAAAAATCTGAAAGCTTTTAGATTTTACATTATGCCCAAAGAGGTGTATTTTTAACGTTTTGTGTGTTACCTTTGTTAATTAACCATAAAATTCAATTCAACAGCAATATCGCAAAATAATTTTGAAATGAGCATATCTTTAGAATTTCCGATACACAGTCTCGCATGCTGGAGATAAAAATTTTTTTTTTTTTTTTTTTTTTTGTTTTTTGTTTTCGTTTTAGTTTTTTGGTAGAGTGTTGCCATTGCTCGCTTTGAAATCGTTGAGTTTGTTAATAAAAATACTTATTAAAGTGTTACAAAATATGAAATCGATAATAAAACAAATTCTAAATTAGGGCTTCCAGATCCCCATATTCGGTGGAGGATTACGTTATTCAAAATTTGATAGGTACCGTTGTTTTATGACAATGCGAGAAACATACATACATTTATGCAGATTCTTCCTTATTTAATTTCTTTAAATATAACACAGGGCGATAATATTTGGTGGCAACAATTTGAAAAGTGAAACGAATATATGAAGTTTTCGATGCAAAATGATAAAATTAATGTAAGTTGCGTCTTTCTTGTCAGGAGCCCCAAAATTCAGTTTTAGAATTAATGTTCTGCTCTAAACAGAACAATTAACAAGAAATTATAACCAACATCTGACGGCAGTAAAATGAATAACCCCTGCATTTGATAATGTTATTGTAGAAGTTATTTGTTTGAATCAATAGTATCAAAATGGACTTTGCTTACAAATGAACATTGCAAGCCTACTAGTTGCAACAGAAAATGGAACTTGACCAAGTTCAAGATTATTTACGTCAAAAATCCATGCACATTCCAGGGTGTTTTATGTGTTCATACCATCTCTGTTTGTTGAAAATAACGACTTTAAAGTAGCATGTTTATCTAGTGCAGCTAACTAAAATATTTAGGTTTCGCCCCTCTTTTCCTAAATCTTATAGGTAGCATGTATCTTCGTAACTTTTAAAATAAATTCTTTCGTATTATTTTATTGCGTACCTCCTTATAACTCTGTCTTTTAGTTGCATCTTCTTGGATCGAAGTGGAAAATGGTGCGAATGAATGAACGAAGCAGCGTTACTGAAGATTCACTACTACGTTCAATAAAATCAGTTGTGATTGTAGTATTCCTATTATTTTGGTTAAACATCTCTGTTAATTTGTGGAATCATACCTTCACTTACGTTCTTATTCCCCAAATAATTCTTTTAGTGTCCTCTGGAAAAATTGAGAAACAATTAGATACTTCGAAATACTCTAAGCGGAGATTGTACTCATTATAAACGTAATTGGTCTTTAATCTAAAATTAGCTATGTTGTTATTGGCTTTATCAAATGAACCTCAATTATTAAGGTTTGATTTTTAAGTGTCATTTATCGTCAGTGCTGCCATTTAGCGAACAAGTGCTGCTATTTTGTTACGCATTTCAAAATGTTGGCATCCTAGTTAAAGGAGACGGAATAATTCGTGAATAATAATGAATTTTAAGCATTGTTTCTAGCTGATTCGCTTTACTCGTAAATCGCATCAACTCGATAGTCAAAGGACTTCATTTTGAGGCTTAAATATAAATAATACTCATTAATACTGTAGTGATTCTAGAGTGTTATAGATAATGGAATTCCATTCAGTATTAAGATTACTGAACTCGGTGGCAGCTTTATGAAATTGGAGGAGGAGGAGAGGATCTCATATGAACTTCCAGATTGCCACTTTTCTCATAAAGCATAGAATATTTTTACTGTTTTTTGAAATTCCTTAAAGATTTGTGGGCCCCTTGCGATTGCGACATGAGCACGAATGATTTTACTCAGCTTGCATTTTTTTTCGGAATGGCAATATTGTTGAAAATGTCTTAAACAATACCCTTTTAAAGTGTCGTGATTATTAAGAGGCCCTTAAAAATCATTGCATTCTTCTTCAAATTCAAATTCAATGTTATTCTTTCATAACATAAATACGTACAATTATGACAATAGGAGGAATAACGTATGTGAATGTAGTAAGATATGAAAGACTGTTTAAATGTAAGACAAGAATAGTCATTCTTTCAACTCTGAAAGCGAGCAAAGTTTTATAGAAAATTTAATAGGTCTATGCTCACACTTCAAATATTGATTTGTTGCCATTTTTGAATTTAATACTGTGATAAGTGCAAGGCCATACTGATGCTAACAAGCGCATATGCCATGGAGATTTGCTCGGCGGCTGTAACGAGTAATTGTTATTCGAAGGAAATTATATCGATATCCATATGCTGTGTATATCCCAGTTCGATTGCTCTATTTTTAAGACTTAAATTTTCTGGCACTTTAGTTTTCATTGTGTAATGATTAACTTTTTAATTAAATGGGCTTCGAAGATCAAAATATGACTTGCTTATTACTAAAACGACGAAATATAAAATTAATAAAAAATTTATATTACACTATGTATTCTACAAATATTTTTAATTTCTAGCAAAAATTGTATTACATAATGCTGAAGATTGTTCCTCAATTTCTAAAAGAATTAAAAGAGGTAACTAACAGTAGCTTATTTGAGCAAAAAAATATGTGCTTTTCAATTGAAAATTTAATCAGGATGAAAGAATTTTGATTACCATCTTAAATTATTCTCATTAATTTTATTTCTTTCTGCGCGCTCTTTTTATGAAGCCGCTACCATGAAAGATTCATTCGTAATTAGCAGTACGTTTTCATCGAAGTAGTGGAACGAGATATAAATGCAAACGAATGCAATACTAATGCAAACGAAATGCATTCTTTATGTTATTTCCCGATGCATTCTCATCTTTCATTTCATTCCCCCCCCACACACACATTTTAAAAATTTACTTTCGTTTTCTGACAGCTCTCTAGAGTATCTGAATAACGCCTGTTTATATATGCATTTTTCGGGCAAATTTAGCGGTTTTGGTAAAATTAGCTTAATTGAAGGACAGGTGCTTCCCCCCTCCCGATTTTCTGTATTGTATTCTCCCGATTTCTGTATGAGATTCGAGCAAAATAAATGCAAGCTGCGAAGAGGAAATTTCTCTCATGGATGTCTCTTGGCTGTTCTCAGTTAAATAGGGAACTTACTTTAAAATCATGTATTGATTATCCCAGAAAAGTACGACACTATGTGCGTCAATTGGCGTATCGATGTTTTCTGTACGATGTTATAGCCATTCATAATCAGCTTAAACTAGTGTTTGTTATCCACTGAAACCACAGCCAACTATAACGTTTTTGTTAAATTATTAACTATAAAAGGGTAATAATTTTTAATCTAAAAGTCATCGATGTGTTAACTCGATTGAACCAGTGTTCCCTCTAAATCGTGCGCGAATTTTTGCAAAATTGCAAAAGTATTTTTACCTCCCACACTCATTTTCGGCTGCAAGAACGTTAAGTAAACAACATTCATGATGATCCAAGTAAGGTATCGCACAATGGGATTGTTGTATAACGATATTTCGTCGTAAAAGTGTCAGCAACTTCATGCAGGTCAGCCAGTGCTCACCAAGACAAGAAAACTTCAAAATGATGCTTTGGCATACAGGTATACATTTGCGGTGAAGAAAATCTTTTTGAAGAAAAGTTTTTAACTTAAAGAAAAGCAGCATTTCTAAAACTGCCGTCCGTGTTATGACGGACTAACAGCTATGAAAATATTGTTTTCTTTTGCTTTATTAATCAGAGTAACAAACTAAAACCTTACGTGCAAAGTAAGAGTACCAGTATAACGTTGCTGGAAACCTTCAAGAAGACTGTTGCTTTTTTTCAAGTAAAAGAAACTGTTCATCAGTAAAGTACCGACACCTTTCTGTCGGAATGCCCTTATGATGGTTTTCGTTTTTGTGAGCGCTGGCCGAACTGGATAAAGGTTCCAGCACCTTTATCAGGGTATCCTTCATGACGATGCCTTTGGAAGTCTAACTGAAATTTCAGCAGAATTTGTCTACAACACGTTCCAAGACTAAATAAAATTGGGAAATGTCTTGTCTATAAACCTGAGGTTCTCAAACTTTTCCATCCTTTACTTTCTTTGTTACACAAAATCTTCTTCCAATTCTGAGCACTTTTGTGCAGTGAATCATTTTCTTGTAAACAGTGCTTACATTAATTTCTGCACTCTTTTTTAGTACAGAGGAATGAGCATTATAAAATAGCGCATTACATTAAAAATAGCATAACAAACATCATGCTAAGCAAAATCTCGCGGAGTCTCTGTGCCGTCCCTGCAAGACAACTGCCGCATACAGTTTGAAAAACTTTGCCATAATCAATGTATTCGCGGAGAATATTGTAAAACGTAAAAATGGGTGCACTCTGAAACATTCTGGATCCAATTGTGATCGGAAGAAACTTTGTAACTACTCG